AAAGTTTGTAAGGTGGGTGGATTCGGTTCTCCAATCACACAGAGGATTCAGCTTGAAAGAATTTAGAATATGTTTTAGTTTAATCCAATCACCGTCAATTACAAAGTGGCTTGAATTTGCTTTTGAGAGGCATATCGAAAAGTTGGAATTGAACCTTTTAGATGGTGATTGTTCTCATGACCCAGATGAAACTTACGTGTTTCCACAAGAGTTGTTACGGGAAAATAGCAGAATTTTCAACTATAAAACCTTAAAAGTTTTGTGCTTAAGCTGCACTGAAGTCTCTGGTGAAGCTATCGAGTTTTTCTTACGTTACTGCCCATTACTCGAGCGGTTAGTTGTCTGTTTCTCCGAATTATTGACCAGTCTTGAAGTTTGTGGACCATCCCTTGTGTTAAAGCATTTGAAGATATGCAAGTGCATATTTTTGAAATCCTTACGAATTTCTGCTCCAAATCTTACTACGCTTATACTTGATAAAATAGAAGCCCTCTTGCTTGAGGATGTTCCAATGCTTCGTGACGTTTATGTGAACGTTGGAGCAGTGTTGGAATATGATCCTATGTTTGTACAAAGGCTAGTTCCCACACTGCTTTGCTGTTTTTCCCAATTGGAGATTCTCACCTTGAACATTTATGATAAGAAGGTACGCTGTCGTTCTTATTCTGTTTATATTCACTTAGTGGAGCCTATTCATGGTAAAGTAAATATAGCATGGTTAATTTCTGTCTTTGCTTTATAAACATAATAACAGAGCCTAATTGCGGAATTGTCAACTGTTAAATTTGGTGGCTCACACAATACACGAATGGTTGTCAAACCAGCAATAAATGCATTGTTTGAAGCATTATTTGGTTTTATAGAAAATTTTGGGTTAAATATGTACAAAAAACAAACTAAATAATTTATAACTCTCGCATTCTATGAAATTTGCAGTGAGCCTTTATATGTAACTTACCAGTTGATATCTTTATTTATTATTGTTGCAGGAGGTTCTAACGACGCTCAATTTCCCTGTGATGCCTAAACTTAGGAAGTTGGTCATCAAGAAAGTTTTATGTGGAGTGGACTGGAGTCTTCTAGAACTAGCTCATTTTATCAAGGCATCTCCCAACTTGCAAGATCTTGAGTTAAAGGTTGGTCTATCCCAAACATGTTTGAAAACACTATCCCTAGTTCCCTACAATCTCGTGTAAACTGCTCATCATTGAATGGCTTTATGGCTTGTATTTTCTTGTCTTAGATTTTATATGTTAGATTAATGTATGACCTTTATTTTATTTTCACTTATATTTGCAGCAACAATGGTCTCATGTTGAAAGCTCAAATAGAGAAATTCAGAAGGGAGTTAAGCAATTTCCACTGCACCAACACTTGAATGTTTTTCGGTTTTTAGGTTATTATGGTTGCCCGAGCGATCTTGAATTAGTCAACTACTTGTTGGAGAATTGTGTCGCGCTTAAGGAGATCATTGTTGATACCCAATCTCCGGACCCTCTTGCCTATGAGCCAGTTGATCATGAAGAATTGAAATTGGCCGAAGAAGCAAAGATTTACGCTAAACAACAGCTAGAGCCGTTGGTACCAAAGCACATCAGGTTATTTATATGTTAACCCTTTCTGTTTTTGGTTTCTTGTTTAATACTAAAGACTAAAGTTTTCTTGGTTATTTATATTAGAACTAGTGTGAGTTATCAATTTGTTGTAATGTTATATGTTTTATTAGTACTATTGAACGCTATTTTTGTTCTGGTATCTTGTATGTGAATTATATTTGGCACTGCTTATTTTGCGTTGTGGTCCAATGTTAATGTATGTTTAGAATATTTGGCATTGGGTTCAGTTTTACATGTGGCATATAAATGGACTTAAGTTCTAAATGACATGAACAAACCCAAGTAAAAAAATCTAAAAGTCATCCAGTGCAAAAACAAAATACTAAGTCTAGAATATTTGTCAACTAATAAAAATGCTCTAAAATATTTTCTATATTAAGAGAAAAACTAAATTAGGAATAAATGATGATAGCTCAGGTTTGTACTTGGGTCCAACATAGACTCAAGTGTAAACTTAGTCTCATTTTTTGATTGCCATATAAGTTAGACCTAGTCTACTTTTAATTGCATTAGAAAATACTAGTGCGTTACCCGCGCGATGCACGTGCTAGTTTTTTAAGGTAAGAATTTAGATTTGGATGATTGGATGATCGTAAGAACGTAAAACACATGTATTGGAATAAAACAAAATGTAACTTATATATTATTAAACACATCCTGGCACACAACATGATACATGTTGCACACAAAATGTAACTTGAGCAGTTTCCACTGCACCAGCACTTGAATGATATTCGGTTTGTAGGTTATTATGGTTGCTCGAGTGATGTTGAATTAGTCAACTACTTGTTGGAGAATTGTGTCGCGCTTAAGGAAATCATTGTTGATACCCAACCTCGGTATCGTTTGGCCTATGAGTCAATTGATCCTAAAGAGTTAAAATTGGCCGAAACAGCAAAGATTTATGCTAAACAGCAGCTGGAGCCGCTAGTACCTAAGCACATTAGGTTATTTATATGTTAACCCTTTCTGTTTTCGGTTTCTTGTTTAATACTCAAGTGTTCTTGGTTATTTATATCATAACTAGTGTGAGTTATTATCGCATTGTTGGGATGCATTTTTTTCAATATTACTACGTTGTCAAAATTTTAATGCATTTTTTCATATTATCTCACGTAAATTCTTTGTCTTATTATATAGTAATAGATTAGAACTAGTGTGAGTTATTATCGCATTGTTGTGATGTTATATGGTTTATTAGTGTGATGTTATATGGTTTATTTGTACTATTGAACATGTTGAATATATTTGGGATCTGCATATTTTGCGTGGTCCAATGTGTTGTAAATATATTATGATGGACATTACTTTTCATGGAGGCCAAAGGCCCACTAGTTTTAGTTAGGTCATCTTATGATGTAAATTGTAAGCCCTAAAGGAAACACGAATGGGATGAATCTTTTATGCGGCTCTCCATCTTGTTCTCTCTGCTGCTTCTTATATTTCTTTGATTTGCTTTGTGAATGATGAATGCTTGAGGATTGAAGGGCTCCGATTTACAACACGTTATCAACACGAGCAAATATTTTGGTGTTGCCCTAGGAAAAAATCGTGTCTTTCCTGTCAAGGCATTTTTTTACACTATTGGTTTTCGGATATGATGGTTTCTCTGATATTTTGTATATTCGTATATTGCATTCCAATCATGTATAAATCTATGGTTTTAGTATTCGGTGTATATTGGTTTTGGAGCAAGAATGTACATGATTCATTTTGTCTTGAATTACGAGATAGAATTCCCTTTGATAATGTATTGAAATCTGATTTTTTCAACTTGTTGTGGATTGTTTTCTTCAACAATGCCTTGCCCTTGAAATTTATCAAACCTGGCAAGTGTTGTTGAGCGTAAACAGATGAGGTTTGAATAATTATCTGTGTGATTTGATACAGGATCCAATTTAGTTTGTTCAAATCCCATGTTACTGTCTTTCAATTGTTTTGTTTAAGTAATAAAAGCAGTGTGATTTATTTGTTTTGGGAACATCATAATGCGTTTTCGAAAATTGGATTAAGTTGATTGTGCTCAAGATTGAATTAATTTCAGCCTTCAATTTCAGAATAATGAGATTTTTATTAAAGACAATTTATAAATTGGGAAATTTACATAACCGACTCCACTAAAAGGTTTATTTTCAGATTTACAATTGGAGAAACCTTTTATCATTTAAAGTCATTGTAAATATATATTTACATATTTTACGAATCCTCAACTTAGCAAAATTGACGCATAATCTCTCCCCAATTAATAAAACCGAAATTGACGTATACCAAAATAAAATTATCAATATAGTCATACAAAAAAAAATGAAATTTACCATTCTGTGTTTGAGAATTTCAAATTTCAATCTATACTCAAAGATCTAGCCGTTCTTTTTTTAGGATCGGGCACGAGCTGGATTCAACAATCAACAAAAAAAAAAGTGCGTCAGTTTCAGTTTAATTTCCGAAGTCGAAGTGGAAGCCCCAAGAGCAACGGCTATGTTAGGTATCCTCCTCCTTCGCCGGATTATTCGTACCCTAATCACGACGATGCCCGAAGGTCTGCAATAGAATTTCTTTCTATTATGATAGCCGTAAAAAACTCTACCTCAATCGGGACTACATAAACGGGCAAGCCAGAGGAATTTGAATCCGATGAAGAACAGAAAGGCTTACCTTGCGAAGAGTATGTTGTTTATATGTTGTTTATCTTTTGTATAACTATACGGTTAATATTTGAGTATTGTCAGTTCGTGTTTATCTGGTGTATATATATTGTATATCTAAACAGTATAGAATTGTCAGTTCGTGTTTATCTGGTGTATATATATATTGTATATCTAAACGTATATATATATTGTATATCTGATTTTTTTTTACTGAAGACGATTTCACGAATAACAATTTTATCTGAATTTTTGCGATCCTTGGACCACTTCTCAGAAAGACGAACGGCGATACTTGAGATTCGCCTTCAATTTCACCGGAAATATGGGCACTTCGCAACTGAGACGGGTTCGTCGGAGAAGGGTCCGGGGTTCTGGAAACATCAACGTTGGACGACTGCTCGGAAAGACGAACGGCGATGCTGTAATCTTCACCGGCGATAAAAGGTTTAAGCGGGCGATGAAGGTTTTTTTTTTGGATTGAGAGATTAATTTTTTTTTTTTTTGGAGTGATGTTGTACTCGAGATTTGGAGTGAGAAAAGCAGATTTTTAGTTCTTTTTTTAGACGGTTGAGTGTAATGATGGAGAGTAAATCACACTTCTCGAAAATCATGTAAGAGGAGTTCCTTTTGTGTTATTTGCTTATTTTTTAAATTGCCACTAATATCGGAATTAATATGTAATTAACTGCACTTAATGATTAATTAGGCCAACTTAACCGCACTAAATCTCATTTTAATTATTGAATAACGTATTTATGATTAAACTTCCGTGAGCTCGTATTTTTGTTATTATTTACTCTATGGGATGTAGATCGTGTAAATTTCTCTTATAAATTCGCATGTATGATTTCATTTTTTTTTTCATTGGCAATAATATTAAGTTTGTATTGAAAAATTGTAGATGTCGAATATCACTAAAAGAGAATTTGCTGAGCTTACTCTTGATGGTAGTAATTACTTAACTTGAGCCCTTGATGTCGACATTCATCTGACCTCGTTTGATTTAAGTGGCACAATTGATCCTACATCTCAAAGCACTCCCAGAAGATGAAGACACTGATTTTTCCCCATCACCACCTCCATCAAGATTTGGAAAATGAATACTTCACTTAAAAGAGCCTAACAATCTTTGAAAATCAATGAAGGATCGCTTTGACAAACAAACGACCATAATTCTCCCTCAAACACAATTTGACTGAACTTAATATCCATTTTCAAGATTTTAAATCAATTTGATCCTCCATCGTGTTGTCTCACAACTCAACTCTGCAAGCAGAACATTATTGAGGTTGAGTTGCTTGAGAAAACTTTATCGACTTTTCATGCTAACAACCTTGTATTCGAATAGCAGTACAAGGCTAAAAACTATGCAACTCATTTTGAGCTAATTTCTTTTTTGCTCGTGGCCGAAAAACACCATCAGTTGTTGATGAAAAATCATAATGCTAGGTCAGTTGGGACTCAAGCAGTGCATGAAGCATATGCGACTACTCACGAGAATAAAAATATGCGAGGAAGAGGTTGAGGAAATCATATCCAGTCAATCCGTGGTGGTCGTGGTCATGGTCGCGGTCGTGGTCGTGATCGTGGTCGAGGTTGCAGTCATGTCCGGACTCGAGGTGGAGTACGAGGTCATGGTGTTGAAGAACCGACAGCTCCTAGAGAAAACCTTAACATCGATGCTCCACAAGCTAATGAAGATAAGCAAGTTTGCCATATGTGTGGATGCAGTGGTCACTGGTCCCATACATGTCGTACTCTTTGGCACCTAGTTAAGGCCTATCAAACAATGTTGAAGGATAAGAAAGGAAAGACTCCTCAAGGTGAATCACATCATGCTAGTTTGCTGAAGCAAATTTAGCCACCAATGATGATGATGGTGATGATTTAGTGAAGCATGAGCTCGAGGATTATTATGATAATGCGTGATTTCATTCGCGATCATTATTGAATATTTTTATTGATGACTAGTTTCATTTTATTAGACATTTATGCTCTAATTTGTTTCGTCAGACAGTTGCGTTTTGACTATTGTTTTCCATATGTCTTGATTTTATTGGGATTTAATGATTGTTTTGCCTGCTTACAATATTTTACCTTTCTTTTGTGTGTGCCATAAACGTTCAACAGTTTGCAAGTCATCGAGAAAGAATGTATTTTATGCCTGGTCGACAGTGCTACTACGCACACTATTTTGAAAGAAGATTTAAAAAAAAAACTTCAAATGAAAAAAAGGGAGTGCTACTACAATTGTTCATGATAAAATCTTGATAGTAGACTCTGACATGACTTTATTTACCCTATGGGTATCGAATTAATAATTAACGATATACTTTTGTACCCTGAATCT